ACGAGGCATGTCAGATGCAGTATAAAGGACGCCTGAACATTGTATACATTAGCGGTAGATGTGGGAGGCGGTACGTGTGGTTCTGTTGTGGATTCCCCGCTGAGTGTACGGATAACCTGAATGAATCAGTTGTGCCGCTCTTAACCAGTTCAACCCTCAACGAAGTGAGAACGCCAAGACTAGCCGGACCGAAAGATTCTATTGGATAAGAGCATGGCACAATAAATAAGTTGCAGGAAACCACTAACGCAGCAAAATGGGAGATGCTAATTAATAGTAAACAACACAAAGCAAACGGTTCAAATTCATGATCTAACTTGCCGTTGATTCCACAAAGATTCGCATTTGGATCTGTACTCGAGTTCGATCTTTAATTGTAGATCGATCCACTGTTGCGTCAGTGTTCTCGGCCTGAACGCTGTGTAAAAGCTATCTTCTTGTAACAGGTTCCCAGTCGGATGAGGTTGCAGAGTGAACCCCATTCCAAAGCCCATGAGAGCATGGCTGATAGATGTCGAGAAATACTCAACCCAAAAGAGACACGCTGTAATTGTGTACAGAGTTGTGTGTGACTGGACGTGGGATCACATACCGCGACAACCAGAACTTTTAGAGGTCAATACATTTTTAAGCAGAGTACATCACTACTGAACTCAGTCGGGTGGTCAGCACCAGGAATTGCACTGATAGTCATTTCACCCAGGGCTTCGGACGGTCCTATGATCTCTAAACGGCGATCCCACTCATATCAGGGAATGCTGGGATCTGGTGAGTACGAAAGATGTAAGCAGCACAGCAGTCAATCGTGATCTGATGCAGCTACGTCATACACCTTGTGAAGAGGACAGGATAGAACTCTCCAACAACAGCTTCTAGCTCAAAGTGGTCAGTTATATTCGAGACTGTTGTTGTTTACAAGGGAGAAGTAGTGGGAATAAGACACGAGTCAAACAGGAAAAAGTAATACCAAACCCAAGATTCGGGAAATCATTATGGACTGCTGTCCTGTCAGTTCGTGATTAGTCGACAGATGGACACCAATGGCCAAACCCATGCACACGCTTTTCTGGTTTCCGCATAGATTGTGGAAACGGGTCAACTGACAAAGAGACAAACTTGTCAGGTACTTTAGAAGGACTTAAATGTATCCATCGCACTGATGAGTATAGAGGATATGCTAGCCGCTGTGGGAGTCTGACGGTCCACTCAATAACGAAGGATCGCCACCAAATATACCGAGAAAGTTTTATTTGTGATCTTTAAGGTACCCAAAGAAAAGTAACGAGTGAAAAGAAAACGTCCATACTGCCAACTAAGCACCCTTTAGCACATAATATCAATCAATATGCGCAGACACTAGTGCTGAAGTTCAAACGACACAAAAACTGTGAATCAAAGAGCAGGAAGAACCCGCGCGTGCAAGTAACAGCTTAATAAATACGTGAAAAATGCGCGGCACATTATGATGAATGAGTCATTCCGTCGGTTAACGGTAGGAAAGCGACTGTTCAATCGAACCGGTTGCAAAGAGACGCTTATCAACCTTAAATGGACCGGAAGTGAGCAGGCACGAAACATTCAAACCGCAAACAAAAACCTCAACAGCACAAAGTTCACTCCGACGCGGTGCTTAGGAATGAGCGAAAAAACGATCCGTGTGCTAATAGGTTAGAATAGAGTAGCGATTGAAGAACAATAACACTCGTGAATACGTAATGCCGTCTGAAACGAAGAAGAAAAGGCGGATAGTGTTCGTTGGAAACAGTAAAAACTCCATCGTTTGCCAGTGGAATAATGTTCCAAGATAGCAGCAGGGAACAGTCGTCGTGGATTGTCATATCAACGAAACCTATTCCGTGTGCGTTACTTGGTAATCATTTCTAGAGATCTCTACGGGTTTATAAATGTCGTATCGTAAGGCCATGTTACTTCCTTTGCCACGGTTGCTTGTCCACCGGGTTCATCCAACCTTAAGGAGCTTGACCCTATGGATCCGTAGTCTTCCGGACCCAACCTATAAATGTCCCTGCCAACCGGATTCCTGACTGTTAATCGTATTATTATTGGCGCATAAATTAATAAATAAACGATTGTATATTAGGTGTGGACTGGATTCACCTCAATAGATACATGCAATATGACCGTGGCGTTGAATTCTGGGGCATAATCTTCACAGGTCAAGTCGGATATGTTCATTTGAAGCCTGATGTAATCCAGTTTTTAGGCGCATAACGTTGCGAGCTGTGATTAATGAAAATATTGCACTATATTACACTTTGTAGACTTCGTTGTAAAATTTTGAATATATCTGTGCTTCCGTTTACATCTGCAGCATTCCTTGACCTGACACTAACCAAATAAAGCACATTTTGCTCTCATCGTAACTAGCACCAGAGTCTGTTGCTACTGATTTGTTTGTTTTTCATTCTAGACTATGGTTCACACAAGTAAGGATTTTTAAACCCGATTCCGCATTTTTATACGTCCTATATTAACTGCTAGCCGAAGGTACAAGAAGCAAAATTTTGTATATTCCTACTGAATGATGTTACTTACCCATTTGAATTCGCCTTTCCTAGGCATTCGTTATTTATTTATTTGTACTGGCAAACATTTGGAGGCGTTTCTTACCGTACTTTCGTTTTCCTCATAAGCCGAAACAGAATTGAAATCTCGGAACATGTTGAAATCGACCGACAGAGTCGGAATGAGCGGCAGCCGAAGGCTGAAATACTAACTTGGCCAAGAAAGTCATTTTTCCGTTTTCTACTCAGACTGCGCCGGTTTACTTCGGTGGGACAACAGTCAACGGAGGCAGGCAATGAGTACCCATACAAAAACAGAAGGAACCCCATTAACATAATCGGCCCCCGGTAGATACATCTGTCCTTATCCCCGAACACCATAAGTGTGTGAAACTGTAATGCACATAACAATGTACATATTATCAACTATATATTGAAGAAAGTCCTCTAAGTAGACATTATTATTGGAAAAAATTGCATACGTATTGATCCCTCTCTATGTGGGAACAATCTCTCACGCATTGTCCAGGAACAAAGGATTTGTTTACTTAGTTATGAACTCGGAGTTAAGCAGCGAGGGCGTTCGCTGGGGTGGTAAGTGTATTTATGTTTCGGTTTTCTCCGCATTACTATAGTTTTGATAGACTTCATCGTTCAGTACATATGTAATGATAGCGTATGTGCTGCAAAAATCACATCTAGTGCTTGAAGCTTAATATAAGTTGATCTGTACAATGAGCATGATCAGAGCTTGAGGATGGAACATTCGGAGGACCGAATTTAACCTGATGGAGCATAGAAGCTTTAGTTCTCTAGAGTTGGAAGTGAGAATTGATGTATGCAGGCCGAAGGCCATCCAAAATCAGTCCTACGGGACATTACACAACGGTTCGGATGCTGTTGCCAACAAAAATACCTAACACCCAATATTTAGACTTTCCCATCTGACGGAAATTAACTGAGACGTGGTCCTCAGACGATAGAACAAAATTTGAAGCATTGATAGAAGTGTCTAACCTCACCAGCACTAGTACAGCAATGGATCGTTTGGCCATGCGGCTTTGGAAAACAGACTAAAACTTTCGCTAATGTGATGAGGGACCAAGATAGAGCGAGCTATTTTTGCCGGATACTCACTAATAGTCTTGACAACACGTGAAGCTGTCGCACAGCGACTTTACTATAATCATCACCGAAACGGACATCGCACCCCAATCGACGACGTGCGCCGATGAATGCATGTTAGGAAGAAGGCTCAGTCAGAGTCAACAACGCACTGCTCTCATCCACGAATAAGCTTGGCGAGTCAACTTATTAGCTATTCCGCTTCCTCCCCCCCAAAAAAATTACATGCTGAGCTATCAACAGAATGTAATATATGTCGATGACAATCGAAGGTATGCAATGGTCCAACGGCGTGTGCTGACAGTATCAGTTTCGGATAACTGTATCGTTCAGTTTCAGATCGACTGTGTGTCTAACTTGAACACAGATGAATTGGACAAGGTCAACATAATGAAAAGCTGCATTAAAGGAAAACGTGATTCCTCTCCAACTTACCCACTAAATTAGCGTCGGACAGCATGGGACCTCTAGCAAATATGTTCATCCCAGGCGAACGGCCAGCGTACGAAGAACGAGACACAAAGGTCGGGGTGGCGCATATGTATCAGTGTGTGTAGTGCAGTACACAGGATGTCACGTCAAGAAAAAGCAGATGGTGAGCTTCAGCAATACAACATAGGAAACAAGCGGTCTAATAAAATTCACTCAACTAGTGACAACCCTCGGGTATTCCGTCGGTTCTCGCCGATGTGCTTTCATTTCTGGAGCAGTTAGATGCCTTTAGCAATTTAACTAAAGCAATGAGAAGACGAAACCTGACAGATGCTGACAATTTTTCTGTCTACTTTCGCTCTCAACCCAAAAAGTGCGTATGACCTGTTGACCATAATCTTCCATCTGTCTAAACATGCACACACTTCACCCACCCACACAGGGCAATCAGAGATCAATTGTAGAGGTACACAAGTATGATGTCTTTAGTCCGCTCCAAGGTTCAGCGAATTCGAGCAGATATTCGTTTGTCGACCATTAGGCACCGTTCATAAAGCGGCTAAACGTAAAGGACAGTTAGAGAACCACAATCGCAGTCGGACTATAACAATAGAAGAAGTCCGAGCATAAGTAAAGCCGAAAACAAAGAGTAAGCATGAGATGGAGCACAACCAAAATGTTCCCAACTATGACTTCAAGGGAGCATTTCGGTTATCATAACTGCAGGTAAGATATTAGTGTGCGGGAAGTTAGGTAAGTCGCACATTTTACGAACCAAAGTAGGAGAGCTAGTGGAACAGAGTAATATAGAGGTCCGACACTGATCGGAGGGATCACATGAGAAAGGGCATCAGAATCATGATGCACTATCTTTGGATCAAGAAGCCAACGTAACAAAAACCCAGTAAAGTGACATACCTCATGATTTTCGAATTCTGTGAGTGCTTGGGCAATCTGATAGAAGATGATCTGATTCATCACAAACAGTAGAAGGGAATGAAAAATCCCCGGCAAATACGGAAGGACACCGGAACCTGAAGGGTCGAAAACTGCCCCTTGTTGTGCGTACGACCCAACGTGGACAAAGTAGAGTAGAGGCGACCTCGCTTCGGTCACGTAACCCTGAGACGGAAAAAACAGCAAGAGGATGAAAGGAAAACTGTAAGTTCAAACCATTGGGTGGAAGAGGTGAGAATGTACGGAAACATTCAGTAGATTTGTGGGTCGTGTGTACCCTAGCATAGTGACTCCAGACGAAAGACCTTGAGCTAGCTCAAAATAAACTCAAATAACTCGGTGGTAAAATCACTTGCTGCATTCTGACAAGCAACAACAACTTCGCAGCAATGAATTTCGTAGTTTGTGGAGTCTACTCTATAGTTTGCGCATTGGTGTCGCCAAGTGGCCGAAAGGATTGCATACCAGTATTGTAACCCAAAGGTAATCAGTTCGAATCCACGTAGATGCTTAAGACCTTGCATTACACTCAGCCTACGTACAATCGGTGGTGGTCGCGTGACAGCAAGGCGTCGGGATCCCATTATTAATATTATTATTATAAACGTTGACTAGAGGTGGAAAACACCTTAGTCATTCAGCCGCATTACGGAGAAAGCAGAAAAAGCGGCGCAAGCATGTCAACTGATCCACCAATAACGGATGGACATCCTTCCGGAGAACTAACAGCCGGCTATTGTGCCGCAAAAGTCATAATATGCGTTAAAAATAACTTTGTGGTTTGAGGCTGAGCGGGAGGGAGAGGAGCAAATAAACTAAAAATACAAACGCCAATGAGGCCGAAACTTAGCCATGTCAAGAAGTGCGTCAAGTCAAATATGTCCATCGTCTTGCGGGCAACAACCGAGGGAAACTTCGGACTAATGTCACTCATGTCATAGGTTGGCATCCCTTCATCTTCTTCCATCCACATCCCAATGGCGCAAGCAATGTACGTCGCGGTAGTCGGTTTGTTCGCATGTGCAACACATCGATAGGCTGTGTCTAAAACTGTCGCTTGATTTCGAGCACCAGCATGGACTCCGATCACGCTCCTGTATGTGCCAACCTTTAGGTGCGTTCCGGCGGACATCCGCAATGTCGCTGTGAACGCAATGACACTATCCGGTTGGCGATGCCAGATGCGTATTAAAGTACGCTGACATCCGGGCTGAGTAAGCGCCCACTGATCACCGTGAAAGATCACTGGTTGCATAACTGCTAAACATTACTATCAGCAGGCATGTCTTCATGTGGAAAATCAATTTGCCAACCTAGACACTGGGACTCTACATAGTCTCTGGAACTTATGGATGCTCGTTGACGTATTCCAGCTGGAAGCGAATACAATGAGGCTCGCAAAAAATCAGGACAAAACCGTGTGCCAAACCGAAGAGAGACACGGAAGCCTGGTGGTTTCATCGTGTCTCGGAGATAGAAAGAGCTACTACCGTTTACAATCATTGTAAAATATTCTGTCTGATATGGGAAACAGGCAGCAGGAGACCTGGTGTTACGGATACAATACACGACGAGAGTGCGCAGCCGATCCACAGTCTGTCAAAACGCTTGAAGCATTGGGTCGAACACATTGCAAGGCAATTTAACCAATCTGAGTTAGCGCTTTCTTTTCCGGGCACTGAGCGCCCTTCTCCCTAAACCGTCTAATTGGATCCGCCCTCACGCGCAGAAGTCGAACATAAAATCACGCTGTTGAAATTGCATAAGGTCGCAGGGGCAGATAGAATACCCCCAGCGCTCTTCAAATTGGGGGGGGGCCTGCTCTAGTAGATGATTTACACGAGTTGCTAGTGAAACTTTGGGAGCATAAGAATGTCACGACAGACTGGAACCGCTCCGTCATTGTCCCAATTTTTAAAGGAGATTCCCCTTCGGAATGCGGTAATCATAGAGCGATCAGCCTGATCCCAAATGCCTCTAAATTGCTTGCGTATGTCGTTCTCCACAGACTGACTGGCACTCGTGAAAGTCAGCTCCGTGAAGAGCAAGCCGGGGTTCGTCGAGGTCGGGGCTGGATCAACCACATCTTCGCCTTGTGTCAATCGTTGGAGCAACGCCATGTTTATTGGCGACCCACCGTTGTCGTTCCTTGACATAAAAGGTGCCTTCGACTCATTCGATCGATGTGCCCTCTGGGACTGTCTGCTGAGGAAAGGTGTGCCTGATAAATATGTAAACATTATCAAAGCGCTGTACGCACATAGTTCGGGCTGGGTGAGGATTTATGGCAAACTCTCGCCACCCTTCAGTATCACCAGCGGTGTGAGACGAGGTTGCCCGATGTCATCTTTCCTCTTTAACTGCGCAGTTGAGGAAGTCATGGAAACAGCATTCGCTGGACACGACCTAGAAGGTGTGGAGCTACTTCCTGGTGAGTGACTTCTTGACTTGGAGTATGCGGACGATATTTCCCTAATCTGTGACAGCTCCCAAACATGCCAAGGAGCACTGAACCGATAAGCACTGGATGTCTATCGTTTTGGGCTATGCTTTGCTCCATCGAAATGCAAAGTACTTCTCCAAAATTGGCAGGAACTCACCCTTGCGCTAACGCCTTGTGGTGATCAGCTAGAAGTTGTTCAGGAATTCAAGTATCTGGGCAGCTATATTAGCACCCGTGGGATTGAAGATGAGGTTACGAACCGTATAGCAAAAGCTCGAGGTGCTTTTGCCAATCTCCGCCACCTGTGGCGCAGACGCAACATTACTCTCGCCCTCAAGGGCCGAGTTTACAACGCAGCCGTCCGTTCAACCCTTCTATATGGCTGTGAAACCTGGCCCATCTGGTCGACAGACATGAAGAAGCTCGTCACATTCGATGATCGCTGCCTTCGCAGCTTAGCTCATGTCTGGTAGGAGCACTGCGTGAGCAATGAGCGCCTTCGGCGTCGCGCATTTGATGCAGGAAGAGCGAGTGAACCGCTCAGCACGAGGCTCCGATTGCTGCGAGGCCAAGCGATGACTTGTTCCGGAGGATGAAAACCCTCACTTCGAAACTGTCGTCGGCTGGTGCATTCCGACTGCCTGATTGGCGTCCTAAGGACAATGAACACGTTTGGTTGGACACACTTGCTGATATGGTGAAAAGGCGGCCCCAATAGCGTTTGGGTTGTTTGTTTGTCCATCCCCTTCCTCTTTAGAGACCCTCTAAAATTAACCTCATACGAAATGCACAATATAATAGTTAACATTCTATCACATACTTTCGAAATGTTTGTGGTGTAATTTTTAGTATCTTATCTTTATGTATTGCGATACATTAACTGAGGCGTGTTTCTCACCCCCAGCTAGGGTGTATTGATGGTGATGATGTGCAACACGTGACCGAGCTATCGGGGCATGGTGCGTTAAATAACGGTGCTGAGCGGTTTACACTTCCTATAAACAGGGCGCCGAACACGATCATTGCTCACACAATGCGGCCACCATATATGAACTAGGCTGCGAACCACCGATGGTCGAACTAGCTTCTTTACGTCTGTGGATCTAATGAACCAGGTTTCACAACGGTACAGCAGGGTCGAACATACGGCTGTATTGTACACGCTACCCTTTAGGGAGAGAGTGACGACGCGCCGGCGTCACAGGTGGCGAAGACTAGCAAAAGCGCCTCAGAAATTTGCTATATGGTTCGTGACAATGTCTTCGATTCCACGGGCGCTGATACAACTGCCTAGGTAGTTACATTTCTGAATGGCTTCTAAATGATCACCAATAAGGGTCGCTGCAGGAGTGGGGCCTTGCCAATCTTGGAGAAGGAATTTGCATTTTGAGGGTGCAAAGCATAGCCCGTAACCACTGACAGTCAGTGTTAATCTGTCCAGTTCAATTTGCTACGTTTGGGAAACGGCAAAGATGAAGGCATTGTCAAAGGTAGATTCCAAGTCAAGAAGACGCTTACCTGGAAACAGCTCCACACTTCGTAGGTCGTGCGCAGCGAATACCATTTCCATGACTCCATCAATAGTTAGGTTGAAGAGGAAAGGTGACAGCGCGCATCTCTGTGATGCACGCCTGGAGATGTTGAAGGATGCGGACAGATTGCCGTAAGCCCACACTATGCGCGTAAATCGCTCGGATAATAGTTACATATTTCTCGGGCACGCCTTTCTTTAGCAGACAGTCCTAAAGGACACTTCAATTCACCGAATCGAATGCACCTTGGATGTCGAGGAATACGACAGCGATGGGCTGACAATATATGCGACGATTCTCCAACAATTGACGTAAAGCGAAGAAGTGATCGGTGCAACACGACCACGATGAAACCCCGTCTGCTTCTCACAAATCTGGCTCTCGCGGATGCCAGTCAATCTGTCTGCACGGTGTACCACTGATGCACTAATTGGCGTATTGGTAACATGCATGGTAATAGAGGAGAGACCGCACCATATCGCAACTATTAATATGCTAGGCTGATTGGCCAACATCACCCAAGGTCTAAAAACATAAACCGATGACCACGACTTCAACAATCCTGGATTCGAATCACTACGAATACTGCTGGCGGATAAGAGCAAGTATAAATAGCATCATTGGAATCATTGACTTCTGGTTGGAGCCCATAAGCTCATTCAGACAATCATCAGTGACTCATTGGTGCGCATTTCACCAACAAAATTGCCAGCTGAAACGCTGATCATATTGCTGTTCGAGAGGAATAGCTAATCACCAGAGGGGGTAGATTCAAGAGGTCAGTGGTAAGATGATTGTTAAATGGCGCAGCTGAACTCATATTTTCATGCTAGGTGGAATAGCGCTTTCAAATGGCGTTCTCGCAGTAACAACGATTCAGGAGGGAATATAATAGCATATTGCAACTTTTGATATACCGCATATTATCGTGTATAAGCCGACTCTATGACACTGCAACGTCAAATTTGTCCAAAATCGTAAATCCGTATAGTAGCCGACCCCCCAAAAAACCAGTAAAAAGAGAAAATGAATTGTTTCTACGATTTTGACTTTAGCACTACCTACTCCCACGTGTGCGCTCAGGCGAAAGCTGCGATGCTATTCCTCATTCATCAGTAATGCTATGGATAGAAGTGAGGACGATGCAATTTTTGAGGGATACGGCAATGAGGAGAGCAGTAAAGTTGCACATGACGATATTCACCCTGACGTCCCAATGACAGACGACCAGTATCAGAAACTGTTTGAAGATTCTGACTCGGATTCTAGTTTCGAAGGATTCGAGTAATTTTAATACGACTGTGCAGCGTTTTGATATGTGAGTCAATAAAATCTATCGGTACGTGCTGTGCTGTCATGTCATTTTCCAATGTTATTGCGTATGATGGTATCCGATTCTGTATAATAAGTATGTTTCTGTTGCTGTTATCCGTCGCGAAAGTCAAATGTGCAATATACAGAGAATTTTCGACACAAACACAGTGTCTAGGCACTTCAAATCTTCGCCTGGGATACAGTTTGTCACTAGCGAGTGGTGTTAACGAAAGATAAGGACACAGGTGTGCAGTGAATTTCTAGGGGGGGATTTTGCATGTGTTTTTTTAAATTGCGCACAACCTTTGTATAAACCTATCCCCCAAGTACAGCCATGAAAATGGTCCAAAAGTCCTCTACTTATACATGGTCATATACGGTACTCAGTGACACTGCCAGATAGCAAGTTAAGAGGGTGGAGTAGGATGCAGACGAGGCAGATTGCTCATAAGCAATTGTTTAATGCCAATCTAGTTTGGAGTAAATAACATACGTTTCTGCTCAGAAAACCAGTTGATTTTAACCAATTATTCAGATTAATTTTTTCAAGGCCACAAAACACAACCTTCACCCACATAGCATACAGCACATGGCTTCCTCCGCAGAAGTACTGCGTCACGTGACCTAAGACCTGCTAGTATGTGGGCAGGATCACGTGATTGCTACAGTATAGCAGATATCGGCCTATATATCTTACATTTCATCCCATGTGACACCGGGAAGTATTGCTGATTGCAATGTGATGTCAAGGTAGCCAGGTCCAGTGCCTGTACATAAACAATAATAATGTGTCAGCTGTACGCCGTATTCGCGCTTCGCTGCCGTGCGATTACTAACAGTCGCACACGGGGCTGAGTATACCGTGGGGGCGTCCACCCCTACGCGGATTCGAATCCGTGCCGCAACATTAGGAGACAAGCTCGTTACCTCTAGGCTACGGACCGACGTGCCTCTGTACTGTGCACTAAGATTCAGACAAGTGATTAATTTTGATTCACTGACAGCAGCAGCAACATGATGTGACATCCGAATGGAAATGCTTGGGCACAGACCAATAAGGCGATTTACGTGGGATGTTGCCTGCGTGATGAGTATTGTAGCATTTCAGTAGATGTTGTTTGAGCTCCGAGCTGTGGCTGCGCTTGATGTGCATGTTGACAACGTGCCTACCTGTCTATTACCCACTACCTCGTCCATACTGGCTCCAGCAGATAGTTGGTCGTTGACGAAGGAGACAGAGTGCACAGTCCATGTGATCGTGCTAGCCTCGAACAGTGGTTCCATGCACTCTGTGGAACGGACCACGGTCCAGCCACCGCCTTGTGTGCGATTGATTCCCAAATAAAGCGTGTTTGTGTTTGCCTGTGAAGGAGTGTGGGCCGGCTCCGTTGATGAAACGTGGCTCCCACCCGCATGCTTCGCAGTCTTATTCCTTCGGGTTTACACTGGATATGGGGTGGGTGGGTGGAATTGCGGGTGGTGCAGCACAAACCACTCATGGTCCTTCTGTAGGTGCAGGCGACCTGTGGCTGTCCCCATGGCGGTTACAGTGACAGGCAAATCCGGAACCGGAAGCCGCCAATCCATCCATGTACACAGGACACAGGTAGATAACAGATTAATGTCAATGAAATACACAGAGTAAGAGGGTCGCACAAAGCAAACAAAATATTCAAAATCACCCTGCCGATCGATGCAGTAAGCCGTAGTTAGTGCATTTCCGCACTGAATAAAACAAGCGCGCGACACACGCAAAAGTGGGGTATGGAAGCCGGTTGAACTACAGAGTACAAAAAACTATGTCACAATCGTGTACCTTGGACAGGTGATCCAGAAGAATGTCAACGATGGAAGTGGAACCCGTTGTGCGTAGTAGAGATTGACACCATAATCAATCGTGATAACAAAAGTGTTGTACCACATGGTTTGTTTGGCACACGAAGGAGTGTAGGCATAATTGTTACATGTGGTCCCCAGGTTCAAAACACAAAATCAGGTAGTGGATCTTGCTTACACTAAATTCCTTTGTGTGTTTAATCACATTTGAAGCAGGTTCCCACCATCACCTCAAATGCAACAACGAATGTGTCCAGTCCATTGGACTGAAATTTGAGCTTGTGGAACACGAGTGTCGCACAATGTGTGATCCCACCACATATCCGTCGATTGAATGACACAAAAGATGGTCAAAAAGAACCACTGCGGGGACGAAACGCAGTCGGACTGCCAAGCAGCATAACTGTAACATAATCGTGTACACTATCGAAGGCACGCCAGAAATGCAAGATACAGACAAATCGCGATCGGATAAATCAGCATTTTTGGTTGGGACATATCATCGTAACAGCGATTCAGCCCAACCCAGCGGATCACATAAGATGCGCGGCAAAACATGCATAATTCTAGTTTTATTGCGCTTCTATTATCCTATATGCATGAGGCCGAGGGATGCATTAGTCGAAAAATCAAGCAACAATGTAAAATGTAATTAATACAGCAACACCCAATGTGATGAGTTGGGCAGAAAGACAACTCCACCACGGCCACAGACAAGGTAATATGCAGGCGGAATAAGGTCGATCGTTGTAGGCGCAGTTAAGGGCCAAGTAGGTTTGGTACAACCGGAACCATTGTCATTGTCGTCGAGCTCTAGTAAACCAAGCTTTCGCTACGTGAAACATGGGGATAAAGTCAAAAGGTAGTGTCCACAGATGAAAAATTGCTGACGGTAAAACGCAGAGTAACTTTATCGCCAAGCAAAAATGGAGCACACCCGAACAAGCAGTGTTGGACAACTGACCTTGTGAGCAGAAGCAAGCCATGAAATAGGCAACTTTGAGAGGGAAATCGACCGAGTTAGGCGATGTCTCTCGGGAGTGGTGGTCACGTTCGGAGAGGTAGTGACGTCATCCGATGAACATAATGCTACACGCCAGCTATCCCCCTAACAAGCTGAACTGGAACCGAGAGCTTACATACAAGACAACAGGATGCCAAGTCTATGATAAAAAAAAAAACAAAAATATTTTTTCAACTTGGAAAGCTTGAAACGAGTATTGAAGCTGACTCATACAACGCTTACTTCAAGATTCAGCAGGAGCACATGTACAAAGCCGGCGAGGAGAAGACACGTCAAAATAACCACTGTGGACACCAAATAGCGTAAACGTCGTTTGCGTGCTGGAAAATGTACCTCCATGCGTCCAGTGATACGGCTGCGTTGCAATTCACCACGATATTGTGGACGTTTGTCCAACGCGGTAAACATCCAGGCCATATCGTTGGTTATCCTTTCAAGCAAAGGGTTGCCAGACCAATGCTCTACCAACACGGAATATTGTCTGGACCATAGTTTGGTGCAAACCAGTGCCCAAAGTATTGTGAACAGCGTGAAGCACGAGTGTACAAGAATCAACCAAGGAGAGGCGGATGAGGAGAACACGCTCGGATCGTCAGTATCGATCACACCATCGCTGAGAAGAGAAACCAGACTACAGACTAGATAACACACGACCCCCATGACAGTAGGAGCCAGTAAGAACAAGGAGTAGGTTCGCATCCAAGTGAAATAGAATCCAACGGAATCGCCAAAATAAACACGCAAAGCATCCGCATTGGGATACCAGCTGCAGGTGCCATAAGTATCGCGCCAAAGTTGCCGCCGCAATGCCTGATTATGGGACAATGCGACTTCGGAGATTACACCCAACTGCTGAAGAGCGAATAGGTTAGGGCGTGCTGATGTGGTATCGATCGAATCAGATGAAGAGTGGCAGATCAAGCGAAGCAGCTTCGAGAATTCGTCGCCATTAACTGCATACGACCGAAGGGTCAGTTCCGATAACCAGGCTAATTGACCCGGTGTCAAGGAGCTGATGGCTTCGTCGAGTGCTGCGGGAGGTGTGGAGATAGAACACAATAAAACCTTCATAAAGCACTATGCATCAATGCGGCCCAGAAAGTGTTGGAAAAACAGTGGCAAATATTGAAAAGCATGGATAAGGCTACAACCTAGACCAGTGGTTCCCAAGCACTTTGTGGTTACTGCCTACGAAGTGGATTCATTATAAACAATTACCACCCAAAGTTGATCGTTTTAAAAGCCAACTACCCATAAACAATTGCATGTTTGCTTTAAATTACGGAAAATTAATAATACTTTATTATCATTCATAATAAGAAAACACATTATGAGCAATTTTTATTAAAGCAAGAGGTGATGTAAGTTAATGGGGCAGTTGGTAGTGCGTAGTTCCAACGATTTGTAGTATATCCCGTGTAATTTCGGCTATTTCACATCGTGCACCACGTTTCAAGTTCGGTCGTTTCCTGTTTTGATGTGCGATTCCTGATGAAACAGAAACGTCAACCGCTTCTGATTTGTTTCAACCATCCCTTACAAGTCTGTCCTAGATGACAGCTTCGCACCACCACTCTGTATCGATACGTCCAGAACACTAAACGCCTGTTTTGTCCCTTATACCCTGCCAACATTCGCTCGCTCCTTTACCTTGTCGACTGGCCCATACTCCCACCTTAATGTTCACTCAGTCGGCGAATGACTAACTGACTTAAAAGAATAACTAATGACAAGTGAGCCGATAGAAGTGGCATACAGCTGCGCTGCATTGTAGCCTGGTATTCGTATATTAGGTAATAAAATTTATTGTTAAAAATTATCTAATTCACTGACCACTCATTAATGATTAGACACTGATGGCTAATCAACAGTGATTAAGTAGTTGGTTACATGCTTTGATCCAGATGAATTTTTATTAATTTTGTTCGATGACTGCTTGATAACCCAATCCTCGTACTTATAGTTACCCCAAGTAAAATTCCATTTCAACCCTTTGGGGGCAATTACCCCCAGGCTGAGAACCACTGTCTTAGATGAGGTGCTCGTCTACAACTAATCGAGTTACTTCAACATGCATTGTAAGCATACGCTCGATATGTCAGATGTGGTGAAGCGAACGTACAGCAAGTAGTAAAGAAGATAAATTGGGAGGAAGGCAAACACAGTTGGTGCAAACAAAGCTAGCAAACGTCGTTGGAACATTCCGGAAGTGGTGAATGTTATAAACAGAGGTGTAAACAGAATATGACAGTCCATGCTGCTTTTCGTAGAATGCGCAGTTATCGCCCTTGTGGTGCTCTGATAGTCGACTGTGAGGTGCAAGGGTACGTTACCGAAGCCCACGTGTGCACAAGAATGAGAGTAGGTAGCAAAACATGGAAAATGGAGCGGAAATGAGGACAAACATGCATGTAAATATGCAAATATAAATGAGTAAATTTGGTCCGGAACTCGCAAGCCTACTCTTGCGAGTATGTGGTGAGAGACCACTGAGCAGCAGTGGACCGCAACGACCATACTCCCTCATACTCAGTAGTGCACGCAGACCAGACTTTTATATTGCCACAAATTAAATGATGGCTTAAGTATAGTCAGTGTACGGTGATTCGAGGAGGGGATTATCCTACCGCCTGTACCGTAGTAACATGTAGATCATTACAGAGTGAACTGCACCACAGTATATATAGTAGCTTAAGTCCGGTATTGCTGTAGACCACGTACACGTAAAAGCAGGGTTGCGGATACTTGCCCCGTAGCAGTTGGATGGAGTGCGCATTGCTGACAAATTCCGAAAACACAGTACGTTCATCCAGGGCTTTCCTGGATGTGCGCTGGCTCTCTGACAAATCCTCTTACTATTAATCAAAGGTAAAGGTATAATGGTAAGGTAGGCGTCATTATTTCATGCACCAGGCTCCGATGGCTGGGACACGTGTTGCAGTTGTCAGCACACTGAATCCCGCGACTTACGTTGTTTGCTTGATCGGGGAAGAGGGGGGGGGGGAAGGCCGAATGATGAGACAGTCAAGAGGAATGAAGTGCTTTACTCCAAAGTTCGCTTTGCTTGGTGCCCCTCGACTACCGAGCTTTGGTCCAATGGGCGGTGAACATGTTCGGTTGGATACAGTTGTTGATATGGCGATCAGATGATCTGCATTACATTGCTGTTGTGAGTTTCGTTGTCCCTCCTTCTCCAGTTTAGCTTCCCCCCCCCCCACCTCACAAAGCACGATCTCACACTCAATGTGTAATGACACTAATCACTATGCTATTTTGTTGTGTTCTGTAATGTTCACTATCTCGCTCGTTCATATAGCATATTGTATTACGGCATAATAGCTGAGGTTTTACTCCCTTTCACCTAATGTGAAATGAATAAATGAATGATGACTAATTGTAAAAATGTCATTAACTGTGCGAGTACACAAAGCATGAAAACTTCTAAGCATTGATACGGGTGATTACATGGGCACTGATTAAGAAAACAGCATGCACCAATCAGACCGAGTGTCTCAAACGATATCTTCATATACCCTCAGAAAGGAGTAGAAAATCTTTGGCTGATGAGGGTTCGGTGCACCAAAATTCAGCTGTTCCCCAGTGTAATTCCTTTGCTAAATGCCCCCTGGGTGAAAGGAGGGGCGTTCCCTAAAATGCTAGGAGCGTTTGTAGTACGTGAAGGAAAAGGGAGATTACCGATGATCATCAGAAGCCCAGAAGTGCCGCATATTCCTACTATTAATACGCTCTGTTGTCTCGCGATAAAGAAACATGTGTTCAAAGACGCATCTCTTCGATTGCAAGGAATCGGCAAAGACCGGATTTCGTTGGATGCCACAACAGGTTGACCAGATACGGCATAAACGTGTTAGAGAACGCGGGTAGTTGACATACAAAAAGTGCAACTTCACCAAAACAAATGGTGCAGATACAAAATGTTCTGTTACCGAAAGCCAACTATGGCAATGTGCAGGCAATGTTCGATAAAGATGACCATACTCTTAAGATCCTCAGAGCGCAGTGACCAAGGCTTTGCACAATCCCCACCCAACCCATAGGAGGATATTAAAAAAATTCCTAGAAAGATTTGAATTATTTGAGAGCAAAATAAATTTGCAGGTGATTTGACCAACCGGAGTATCACAATCACACAGATACGCGGACATATGACAGACTTCTAGCGACTGCATCACAATGGTGAGCACAGGTGTTACGGTATCTCTATACATCGATTTAACCTGCAATTTTGAAGCTGTAAGGTGCAAATCTAAACGAACAGCGTCGTGAATCGTTCAATCTCGAGGCACGTGCATCCAACTGGATAGGTCGGTGGAGTACTCTAGCCGTGAGTAGCTCGCTGCGGGATCCCCAATTCGGGCGCAACTTGAGGACAGAAAGAGAGACAAAGGAACAATGACGCATCTCATAAATCATGACGGCATCAGGGAACGGATTTCTGTGGGCATGCATACAACCACGAGAATAACGGCAGAGAGAAAGAAGTAATCCAGGACACTATCCTAAGATAGAAAGCGTCACAAAGTGGTGTTAAACCAAACCAAAAGTAGATATAACAGGGCCTGTGCGTGAATGACTATACTCTAAGTCTAAACTTGTGTGATTGCAAAGCCAGTACACGGAAGAAAATCAGACTATTTTCCGAAGCATAGTGGGTAACCGTAAAATAAGCCGTGGGAGAGGCCTATCGATATTTGCTAGCTATGCAGACAACGGCCGCCAACCGGTCACCTGAAGTCATATCATGGTGCGCTAGTGTTGAATACAATAGTCAAACCAATAGATAATGGTTCGCTACCGAAGAAGAAAGGTCGTCCGATATGGTGCTGTTATTATGTTCACCAAGGTCGCCACGGCTGCTCCGATTGACTGTTCGCTGAAACCTGACCGCCCCCAACTGGCCGATCAAAAAGGCAAGGTCGTAGAAACAGTGTCATCATCATCATCATCATCATCATCATCAACAACAACAACAACAACAACAACAGTACATCAACCATTTGAACCGATGCTTCGCTGGGATACAACCATGAGGACCTAAGGAATAAAGAATAAGAGGGAGAGAAGGGGGACTTACCTAAAGACCTTAATGCCTAAGCAAACATTCAAATTCATGGGGCCTACACCTTGTGTTAACAACCTACCGTCACAAACAGATGGCTATCGTGCAAAATAAGGCGGCATCGCCGAGACAGCTTCCTTGCGACTTTCACTGCCCTGCGACATAATCAGCCATTACCCCTCAGATAACTCAACACGTTAAACTGGCAATCCGAGAAGCCGACGGCAGCAGACGCGCCACTGGTGTCGGCTGCGAGCCATATCCTG